ACCGCGCCGACCCTGCGGCGAGGGTAAGCCGCAGGGCCGATGTGATCGGGGACCCCGTTGACAGAGCTTACAGTGTTACGGAAATCTACACTCGGGTTCCTCGTGTTCAAAGGAGTTTTCTGTAAGGCTGTGACCTTGTCGATGTTGCTTTTTCATGCAGTGCAGTGCAATGCTTCCTTTTTCTTGTGTGTGTGAATGTCTAGCTTGTCCTGTGGTAGAACCACAGCACATCAGAGCACCCAGTACTGAAGATCTCTTCCCCCTTTAGCATAGTTTTTCTTTACTGAAGAGCACTTGTGCATCTAAGGCCCCTCCTCTCCTCACCAGTTATGTGTGAGTAGGTGTTTCAAAATGCGTTAGATCTGTAGACATTTAATATTCCGCAGCTATAGATTTGCAACTTAGTACATGTAGTCAAAGACTATGGGTATGCATTGCCTTCTGGCTTGCAGCTTGTATATTCAAAGATAGGTCAGAGCCTACAGCTAACTCTCTGTATTTAAAATACAGACGTTTTAAAAGCCTCATTTACTTGGTTACTGGAGAAGTTTGTTTGACTTGGAACAGGACCTGTGATCAGCTGTCCAACCTCAGTGGTGTGGCCTAGCCTGTTCCCAGAGGGTTGGGTAGTGCTCTTGCCGTCCTCACCATCAAAGCTGTTCCAGTAGTTTTATAGGTGCCCTTTTACTTTGTTCCTGCAGAAACTTTTAATACGGAGAGACAAACTAACTTTTTAGTCTAGGACTCACATACGAGATAGGTAGGTTGCTAGTTTAGATCTCTCCTTTGAGTGACCCTGCTGAGTGTCTTAAAAATAAGTCTCCGCAGAGTGAGTGCCCTGACCATCAGTTATTTTGAGGTCCTTCATTAGCAGTTTTTCATTTAAAAAATAAAAAGGCTTTTGTAAAGTATCATCAAAATTTAAAGGTTCTTAAAAAAATCATTTAACAGGGTAAAAATGGGAGGAAAAAATATTTCCTTACGTAATAGTAGTGTGAGACTTGTAATCCCCCAGGTCTTTCACAAACAGACTGAATACAGATTGGAATTTATTCACACTCATTGCGCAAGCATACCAGCAAAAAAGCTCACGCAAGCAAGTATTTCAAATGTATTTATATACCCTATGTCATAACCTGGCTGAGTTGGAAGAAAAAGAAGATCCTTGGTTCTTTCATATATATTAGTGTTTTCTCCGCTTATGTGCAAGTTATTTTCTCTAGTCCTACCATTTCTGGATGTCATATTATTTGAGACTCAGTTCCTGAACTTTGTATAGTCAGTCAGTGTTATTCCAGTAAAAAGATACGTCATTGTTTGTATATGTAAAATTAGCTGTATTTGTGTCTAGGGAATGAAGACCTAGCTATATAAATCATCAGCTGAGGTGATTTTTGCAAGTAGAAGTTCCCAAGGGTTTCCGTGAAGCATGATGTGTTAGGTTTTCATTTCCGTTTCATTCTTTCTCTTGCTCTGTTTTTATCCGTTATCGTCCCTTGTTATTTCATGGTGAACAGTAGTTCTCTCAGAATTCTTTTATACCGATTTAGATAGCTGTATGATATCCTTGGTGCACAACAGAATTACTACATGTTTTAAAGATTAGTTTGGATTTATAACTTCCATATTTTAATCGAGGCCAGTATAATAGTTTCATTCATTAAACTCTTCAGGCAATTAGGCAGGGCTGTTAGATTTACCATTTAATAAAAGATCTGGAAATTAATAGAGTTGGTCTCGCTACGTGCAACACCAGGCTACAGTTGTTATCTTTATGTTTTGTTTGGGGGAATGTAAGAGGTGATTCTTAACGTGGAAGTAATAGCTGAAGATTCAAAAGGGTACTCTGAAGGGGGAAGTGGTAGCTGTCAGGATTGTTGCAGCACTTACTCTTTTCACGTGGGAGGGACAACAAACAGCATTTACGGTTCTCTGGTGCTCTTCCGTGCCTTTGCAGTATGCTTAATTTGGGGTATCCTAGGGAAGCTTGATAACACAGCTGATAGTACTGTGGCAACCATATGAAGAAACTAATTGTATTTTACATCTGGTGAAAAGGGTTCATCTGAGCATGAATGGAGATATTTCTGCTTTATGCAGATTACACAAAATATTCTTCCTGATGATCCTGAGGCTATTTATACTTCCAGAGACCTGGTGCATGTTTCACTTAATTGCCTGTGACTAGTTCACAGTGTGTTCAAAACATTCTATGATTCTGTGGTGGTGTTTGTTTTTTTAGTTTTTTTTCTTTTTTCTTCACGCAAACAGTGTCTGGGTAGACAAAAGCCTTGTTACTTGAAATTTATAAAGCCTAAATATTATTTCTTACAGGTGTGATTATTTTTTTTAATGGTATCTCCCAGTCATTGAAAAGATATGTGTAGTGTGTGTTTTGAATGTCTGACTAGTCTGATTATTACATATGCACACTTCTGAAAGTATTTTCACCACTCGGGCTCATGCACAATAAAGCCTCAGCCAAAATGTTTAAAAAACCAAAATCGCACGGTGAAGTGGTGAAGATGGCAATAGCAGAAAAACAGATCCTACTGGAAGACTTAAGAAGGCTATTTCTAACTTTATTACAAATAAATAAATTTTCGTTTCAGTTATAAACCAGGGTGGATTAGATCCCATTAATTACTGTAGTGATCTTTAACAAAAGTCCATGACTTAGTGCTGGTACTTTGGTTTGTCCCCTTCCAGTTCCACAGTTGGCTGAAGTGAATGTAAGATTGTTACCACTGAAAAGGGGATCCCAACTCCTGTTTCCTCATTTTTTTTTATTGTGGGCAGTGGTGCTTCTGTCAGTTTTGCTTGCTGGTTCAGCTGGGACTGGTTTGTTTTTATGGTTGACTTTCAGGCAGGTTAGCAAAAAGAGTTGACTTCCAGTAATAACAGTGTAAGGATGATGGCAGGGTGATTGGGAGTGGGGATCACCCAAACTCACATTTTTGTATTAGAAAGAGATTGTTTTAAACTGATGTAAATTTCATACAATGGGCAGATCCGACTGTGCGCCAGTTCTGACATCCGTACAGCCACTGACCTGCAAAGGTTGGATTTCAGCCAGTTCTGTTTCCAGACCCAGTTTATTGCATGACAGTGCGACCGCTGGAGATAGAAGGAACAAAGACAGGAGGCCAGGACCGTTCTTTTGCCAGAGTAAAGTGTAATCACAGGTGAAGGCAGTTTCAGGTGTGTTTGGAAAACTGGGAGATTACTTGTCTTTTACAAAGGTTCCAGTGATCTGGTGGATGGCCAGGCATCTTGCTCTTTGGTCCATGTTACTTGCGATTGCCTCATCCTGTAATAGAGGAAAGGGTATGTTTTGGATATTGAACAAATATTTAGTACTTGCCATGTCTATGCCTTGGGCAGAGGATGCCCATAAATACAAGTACATCTTGCATTGTGTCTTCTGTCAGGGTTGTGTTTGTCACATTGGCAGAAATATTTCCGTAAATGAGAATGTATTTTGGTGAGCTCTGGAAGGGCTTTTTGAGGCAGTTTAAAATTACATTGTCAGTGGTTTACTTTGGCTGTCAGAATGTGAATCTATACCTTTCCAGATGCAATCTAAACCCGTCGGTCTTAAACTTCCAGTGATGCTGGTGAATATTTTACTAGTATATCTAAGAAGTGGGTGCTTGTTTCCTTGGTTGTGCTGTGGGAGGTGTTAACACAGCAGAGGAGCAAAAAGAAGAGCAGAATGGTAACTTAAACCTCCACAGAACAGTTTGCTGGAGGTGGTCCTTTGGTATCACAGGTGACTGTGCATCATTAATTGCACTTTGTAAAGCTAGCTATCTAAATTTCTGAGTTCTATTATAGTGCATGCTTCAGTTGTGTTCTGCAGATCAGCAAGAGCAATCCTTCATTATTGATTATATTTTTGGAGTGAATTTACAGTTAATAGTAGCTTGTGGCTGCCTTCTGGAGGATGGACTGAGGGATGATATGACAAGAATTGAACACGACCTCGTAATGAATCATGGCGTGTACTGCTGCCAACTGAGCTTACACTTGTGGCGAGTATATTAAGTCTACAGCAACAAACATTTCTTGTTTTTTCAAAACAAGCTAGGACTCAGATTGCTCAAAACACATTTTCTTTTACAGCCAGTTCCAAGAATAAGGTGTTTACTGATGTTTCAGTATGGCTACCTGCAAATTTTTGCTTTAATATTCAGCTCTGCAGGTTAGAGTTTTCCAGGGAGTGACTTGATTTTTCAAGCTTGTGTGCTTTCCATATGACAGATGAGTCAAAGACCAGATTACTAAAAAGTTTAAAGGTAACGTTAAGCATGCTGGTTTTGCATTACCTTTCAGTTCTTTTATTTGTATCGCTCATCTCTTGGCAGGTTTCTTTGCCAACTGTCCAACAATTTTTTCTTTTTATACTCACATTCTACAGGAAAGAATATAGTTTAAAAACAAAAAAGCTCTATTTTAGTTGTTAGTAAACAGCTTTCCTCTAATTTGCATATGGAACATGGTTCCAACATCTATGGAACACCAAAAAAAATATTTTTTTCATATTAAAAGCATTAGTCTTAAGAAATTTTTAGGCAGACTACAGGAGAGTTTTTTTTCTTAAATAAACAATTGTCTGAAAAGCATAGCAGGAAATCATGAAACCTTCTTTCTTTCAAGTCAATGTAAAAAATTTGAACTTCACTGGAATTAATATTTAAAAAGTGAAATCTGAAGAGAATCTGTGCTCAAAAAAAGCAGAATGCTTTTGGAGTATTTTTTATTCTCTGTAGGAGAGGATAATTAAATTTTGGAACTAATAAAGTAAAATGCCTTAAGCTCTAAGCAGAAATGGGAAAATTTTTAAATTTATCCTAAATGATGATAACAACAATTAAAATTTTATTAATCCAAAGGAAGACTCCACAGAAAGGAGTGATGAGAAGCATTTAAAGTAAGCTCTTTTATTTGGTAAAAACACAAATACTGTGCCTAAACCAACATAGACCTGACTCTCTTCAGTGAAAGGGAAAACATCAGGATCCTATACAGCTTCTAGTGACAAAATACAAACCAGGGGGGGTGTTTTTTCTTACTTTTCATCGCCTTTGTTCAACGTACAGCAGTAAGTGTCTGTACCTGTTACAGCTTTTAAAAGCCAGTAACAGGTTTCTGTGCTCTTCGAGTTGATAGTGATTATTGGTTTAGTAGTATTCAATCAATTTTAAACATCTAAAAAATTCTAGATATTTCTTTATTTCCATTATATACTTTTCTTTTTCAGCTCGGAAGACAAGATAACTGTTCATTTCATAAATCGTGATGGTGACAAACTAACAGCCAAAGGAAAACCTGGGGATTCACTGCTGGATGTTGTTGTTGATAATAATCTGGACATAGATGGTTTTGGTAAGTAGATTCACTGAATACTGTATTCAGTGTCTAGAAACTGTGTTCTGTTACCAGTTTATTCATAAATATTAATAGAATCATAGAACCATTTAAGTTGGAAAAGACCCTTAAGATCTTCCAGTCCAACCATAAACAAATACTTATTTATGAATTTATTTATAAGACCTAGCTGTACTTTATTTGGATTTTCTTCCCACGTTTTTCCTGCAGGTGTGTAGAGTATTTGGGATGAACCTTGCTTGGATGTTAAAGGAGGGGAATGTGGACAGACTGCTGTCAAAGTGGAATCTGAAAGATGCCACCTGCAGGCTCTTCTGAGCTGGAAGGGTCTGGAGGCAACACAGAACTGGTGCATTTCTAACAGTGTCTGGTTACTTCAGTATTGCCATACTGTCTCAATTTGTTATCAGGCTTTTTGTAGCACAAATTGCTGTAGTGCTTGAGTACTAAGTGAAAAACAACCAAATCCACGTCAGTTAGCAGTGAAGAGCAAAAAGTTTAATTCTTATTGAAGGACTGGGGTAAAGGAGACAGATTCCCTAGTGGAATTCTAACTTGGTACAAGTCCTGTTTAAAATCAAAATAGGAGGAAGTTGTAACACCTCCCTATTCCTTCAGACTTTTATACTTTCCATAGTTAGTTCCAATGAAGTTGTAGGATTCTGCCCATGCAAAGCAGTGGTATTTGGTAATGGCAATTAAATACCTCAGGACAGGTATTTACCTCTGTGCCTGGGAAGATCATGGAACAGATCCTCCTAGAAGCTATGCTAAAGCACGTGGAGGCCAGGGGGGTGATTTGAGATGGCCAGCATGGCTTCACCAAGGGCAAGTCCTGCCTGAGCAACCTAGAGGCTTTCTAGTATGGGCTGTCTACATCAGTTGTCAAGGGTAAAGCAACAGATGTCATTTATCTGGACTCCTGTAAAGCTTTTGACACAATATCCTTCTCTCTAAACTGGGGAGATATGGACTCGATGGGTGGACTGTTCAGTGGATGAGGAATTGGTTGGATGGTCTCAATCCAGAGGGTAGTGGTCAACAGCTCAATGTCCAAATGGAGATCAGTGAAAAATGGTGTCCCTCAGGGGTCTGTGTTGGGACCAGTGCTGTTTAATATTTTAATCAATGACAAAGCGAGATCAAGTGCACCCTCAGCAAGTTTGCAGATGACACCAAGCTGAGTGGTGCAGTTGACACCAGTGTGACACACCAGAAGGACGGGATGTCATCCAAAGAGACGTGGACAAGCTGGAGAGGTGGGCCTGGGTGAACCTCATGAGGTTCAACAAGGCCAAGTGCAAGGTCCTGTACCTGGGTTGGGGCAACCCCTGATACAAATACAGGCTGGGGAATGAAGGGATTGAGAGCAGCCCTGCTGGGAGGGACTTTGGGAGGTACTGATGGATGAAAAGCTGGACATGAGCCAACAATGTGTGCTTGCAGCCCAGAATGCCAACCACATCAAAAGAAGCATGGTCAGCAGGTCGAGGAAGGTGATTCTGCCTCTGTACTCTGCTGAGACCTCACCTGGAGTACTGCATCCAGCTCTGGAGCCCTCAGCACAAGACAGACATGGACCTGTTGGAGTGGGTCCAGAGGAGGCCACAAAAAAGTTCGGAGGGTTGGAGCACCTCTCCTATGAGGACAGGCTGAGAGAGTTGGGGTTGTTCAGCCTGGAGAAGAGAAGGCTGCAGGGGGACCTTGTTGCGGCCTTTCGGTACTTAAAGGGGGCCTATAGGAAAGATGGGGACAATCGTTTTAGCAGGGCCTGTAGCAATAGGAGAAGGGGTAATGGTTTTATTCTAAAACAGCGTAGATTTGAATTGGATATAAAGAAGAAATTTTTTACATGAGTGTGGTGAAAGACTGGACTGGGTTGCCCAGAGAGGTAGTAGATGCCCCATGCCTGGAAACCTTCAAGGCCAGGCTGGATGGGGGCTCTGAGCAACCTGATCCAATTAAAGATGTCCCTGCCCGTTGCAGGGGGCTGGGGCTACATGACCTCTAAAGGTCCCTTCCAACCCAAAACATTCTATGAACATGAGCTTAAGAATTAATAGTACAAACTAAAGTAGGAGGCAGAAGGACAGTTTGCATGAGTGAACAGATAGCATGGAGTGATTAGAGGGAAAAAAAGTAGGCTAGTGTAACATAGTTTGAAATCTGAGGTGTGTTTTATTTAAGTGCAAATAAATGTCATTGCTAGTAATAAAATCTTTGATAAGTTTTTAAATCTCAGACTTATGTCTGAGAACTCTTACATCTAGAGTTGCATACATTTGGGGAAGAATTGTCTTAAAAATCTGTAATGTGTTGGGATAACTAGCTTTATGGATTACTTATTAAATGTGTCATATAGGCTCATGGCTAGTCTGCTTGTATTCTACAGTAAATATTCTCTCAGTCTGTATAAGTATCAGCCATGTTAAAGCATTGTGGTAAAGTGGGGGGAAAAAGATAACGCTGTCAATAAACAGAAGCCAAACTAAAAAGTGGAGGTACTGTAACAGTCTTTAATTTTAACATGTGCTAGTCCCATTTCAATAATCATTTGCTAATGAAACAACTTACCAGGGCAGGGAAATAATGCAATATAAATAATGTAAAAATGTATGTTCTGTGTTTAGAAAAAAGTAATGAGGGAAAAAACGTAACTTAAATCTTACCTATTCTGTCACTAGGGGGCATCCCATGTGCAGTAATAGTAAGAGAAATCTCTGTGTAAAGACTTAAAAAATTGTTGAATCATTCAGCTGCACTCACTTTGCTGCTGCTAGCTTTACAGTTGTGGAAAGACCTTTCACTGTTCAAATAGACTGGTCAGTGTTCTTTTTTCCCCTCCCCAGCCTCCCCCAACATTAAAAGGCTTTAACTACTGATTAAAACAAATTTTACATTATTTGGTACTTTATTTAAACTCTCCTTTTTCACATGCATTTGTATGTACTTGAAGATGTGGTATATTTTAAAAATCAAGTCTGCAAGTACAGTGTTGTGCTCATTTTGAGTATACGCTGTTGATACCGTTACTACATGTAACAGCACGGTGCTTTCTGTATGGTTCTTGTGGTCAGACAATGAATCCCACTGTTTCTTTTTGTAGCAGTGGTTATACATGCAGCCTTGCTTCTCTTTGTTTCCAAAGGTGATATGGTCACAATACTCTTGGTTCTGCGTTCTCTGGAAATGATTAAAGAAGTTAAACTTGGCTAATGTCTGTCTTGCTTTTCTCTTATCAATTTAAATTGGAGGTGGGGGTTTGGGTGCCCCAACCCCAATCTCCACACAAGTATGAAGATTTCACCTTTCTCTTGAAGCTGCATGTTTCTCTTTCAACAAAGCAGAGAACTCTGTGCCAGCCCTATACAGTGGCAGAGACAAATTTGTTAGTGTTCAAACTCTTAACTGTCATGACCTAACTGCTCTAGCAGGTAGATGTAGTTGATCTGTTCAACCTTGGCTCACAGGCTAGATTGCCTGGTAGTACATGTAGGCCTCTAACACAGAGAAAACCATCTCTCTCTAGCATCAGTACCTTTGTTGCTGGGAATTAGTGTTCTGCTGAGTGAGAAGAAATACCAAGTATGAAATCCCTCCTTCCTGTGCTTCTGAGGAATTTTTTTGAATAGAAGGTGTCCTCTGTTGAACTTCTTGAGTAAACCTCAAAACCATGGCGAAAAAGAAGGATAGAAAGACCAACCTTAGGAATAAATTGGGTAGTGTTGATTGCAAAAGCAGACAACACTGTCATTCTTATAGTAGAAAACTTTTCTCTCTTTAAATGGTAGAAAGGGAATTAGTTAGGTATTTCAACAAACTACAACATTCAAGTAAATCTTAATGAAGGAACTGTAGAAATACGATTGACAGTTGAATGCAGACTAGATACATGAATGTGGGAATATATGAAACGTTATTTTTACTAACCAACAGATACTTCTTTTATGATACAGATATGAAGGATTTCTTCTGGAATTCTGCTATAATTTGAAACTTCAGTTTTCTGTTACCTTAATTTTTATTTTTTTTTCCTTTAGGTGCATGTGAAGGAACACTAGCCTGTTCAACTTGTCATTTAATCTTTGAAGACCACATATTTGAGAAACTAGATGCAATTACTGATGAAGAGATGGACATGCTGGACTTGGCATATGGCCTCACAGAAACGTAAGGCAACATAACACTTCACTGCGCAAAGAATGGAAAGAAGAGTTTGCAGATGAGGCAATCCAGTATTCTTAGAATGCCTTAATCAGCTTTTAATGAATAGCTGGATTCTGTTACACAAATGGGACTGCCAGGTTGAAATATTGTTTATCTGAATTCATATTAAAAAGACGTCAGTACTGTTTTTGTAAACTGAAGAGTGGCACTTGCCAGCACTTGCTCTTCAGAGGTGTCTGATGCAGAAGTGGCAGATACTGAAGTATGACAAAACCCCCACTTCTTTCAACGGAAACTTTGCTGCTGCTGTCATGTGTGTGAATTTTTCTTGTTCTTGTTTCCCTTCCCTTCTGTTTCCATTAGTCTGTAGCTAGTTAATGTATTTTATGAATGTGTTTACATTAGTGTTTTAGTTTGGGTCAGATCTTCTTTTCACAGAAGGGTTGAGGTTGGAAGGGACCTCTTGAGGTCATCTGGTCCAACCCCCTGCTCAAGCAGGGCCACCTAGAACCCATGCCCAGGACCATGTCCAGATGGCTTTTGAATATGTCCAAGGATGAAGAATCCACAGCCTCTCTGGTATTTATTTACATTGATAAGATCCCCCTCCTGAGCCTTATCTGGGATCAAAAGTGTCCCACATGGCAGTGGTCCTCACTTGTCATGCTTTGACTCATGTCAGAGTGTTCTTGGAGTGCACAAGCCAGACTCCTGTGGGTGAAACGAATCCCAAAGCGTGCTCTAAATGCCAATGGGCATTTCAGTGCATAGGATTAGACTAGTGGAAGTCTAAAGTAACCCGATGTTCTACATCTCCCCCACCATCACACGCCTTGTAATTAGGGTGTCACATGCTCATCACAGACCCATTCCTAGTGGGCTTTACTACTTGCTGGTGAGCACGTTGCCTGTATCATACCACATGAACGGTAGGCAGCTGTGACTTACAAGGTTTCATAAGCCCTTTCTTTGTGCTTCAGTGGAACTGCTCGTTGAAGTTGTTGAGAATCTTCCCAGACTCTATAGCAAAGGGGCTTTTATGTCTCTGCAAAGGAGTACTCTGAATTAACTTGTTTATCTCCTTATACCAGTAAAGGGAATCCCGTAGTAGTAATTTCTGCAGAGGTCATCTGGTCCAACCCCCTGCTCAAGCAGGGCCACCTAGAACCCATGCCCAGGACCATGTCCAGATGGCTTTTGAATATGTCCAAGGATGAAGAATCCACAGCCTCTCTGGTATTTATTTACATTGATAAGATCCCCCTCCTGAGCCTTATCTGGGATCAAAAGTGTCCCACATGGCAGTGGTCCTCACTTGTCATGCTTTGACTCATGTCAGAGTGTTCTTGGAGTGCACAAGCCAGACTCCTGTGGGTGAAACGAATCCCAAAGCGTGCTCTAAATGCCAATGGGCATTTCAGTGCATAGGATTAGACTAGTGGAAGTCTAAAGTAACCCGATGTTCTACATCTCCCCCACCATCACACGCCTTGTAATTAGGGTGTCACATGCTCATCACAGACCCATTCCTAGTGGGCTTTACTACTTGCTGGTGAGCACGTTGCCTGTATCATACCACATGAACGGTAGGCAGCTGTGACTTACAAGGTTTCATAAGCCCTTTCTTTGTGCTTCAGTGGAACTGCTCGTTGAAGTTGTTGAGAATCTTCCCAGACTCTATAGCAAAGGGGCTTTTATGTCTCTGCAAAGGAGTACTCTGAATTAACTTGTTTATCTCCTTATACCAGTAAAGGGAATCCCGTAGTAGTAATTTCTGCATGAGGGTACGCTTTTTCTTGCTCCAGCCAAATCTTAACTTTTCTGGAAGGTTGTAAAGGCAAAGAAGTCAAGCTCTGAGAAACTTGCTTCAGCTTCTTTTGTGTTATCCTTTTTCCTGTCTCCCAAAACCCATTTGCAGTCTTGAAAAAAAAAATTATACGCCTCCTAAGTGTGAATTTACTTCACTCTTGCCATCTACCATAATTCTACAAATTTTCTGGGACAAACCAATTACCTGGTCTTCTGAGCTGTGCTGATATAAACTTGTGTGATGGAGATGCACTACTATGCTCTGTCATAGGTATTAAGGTAAGGATAAAAGTTTTTTCTTGTCAGTGACTCTCTGGATTTAGGAAAGCTTCAGCTAGCAGCTGCCACGAAGGTTAATGCTATTTTAAAGTGAGGGACTAATCAGAAAGGTTAAAACAAAATTGTTTTGAGTAACTGCAGAATAGTAGAGATTATTGAAAGTAGTAAGATGCAGGGAGACACAAACCCTGGCAAATTAAATGTTTAAAAAGAATACTGAAGAAAAAAATAAGCTGAGAAGTAGCTTGCTAAAAAGTAGAAAATACTTTTTTCTAACCTGTCAGAAGCAGGGATCTTGTCTCCATGAAGAGCCAATAGGTGATGTAGAAGGTGCACTTAAAATATGAAAAGATAACATAAAAGCAAAGTTTCTTTTGCATTGTTGTCCCTAGAGTTGGTATGGACTGCCCATGCACTGGAAGGTTTGCTTGCAGAGGGCTTCCTGGAGTATCTTTCTCAAACTGATGTGTCCGTAGAAGTAGTATTACAGCAGATAAGTAAAATGAGTAGTAACAAATGGTAACAACTATGTAGCATTCACCCAGGAGTTCTGGAGGAATTCAATATAACATTTCTGAACTGTTGCCTGTAAGGCTTAATTAGTTGGTTTAAAACTGCTTTCACGTCGAAGGAAAGGAGATCATCAGAACTGGAGAGCAGTGAGTCTGATTCCATACTGGGCACACTAATTGTGTGTATGGACTGCTGCTTTTTTATAGTTTCTACTAAATAATGGTAAGGAAAGAATTCAAAGAGCTATTTTAGAAGGAAGTAACAGATACAGGAGTTCTTCAAATGAGTCACGGAGCATGAAGAAAGATCTTGCAGTTCATATAGTTTACGTGGGTCCAGAAATCCTATACTAAGTTTTGAGTTGCAATGGGATAAGAGCAAAGGCTGTGTAAAGGATAAGTAATTGGTTAAGAAAAAATAAAATTTGCCTTGAAACAAGGTAGAAGTATTTGGCTGTTCTGTTAAGAGTATGTGATCAACAGTGTGATTTGAAAGTGATCAGTGCTAGGTTTTATGTAGGGAGCATATTTGTGAAAGACTTGTAAAAAGAGGATGAAGGGTAAGGTTTGTGTATAGTGCTGTATTGCTCAGTGTGGTAAAATCAAAAACTGTCAGTGAAGACACATGCAAGGATCTTGTGCCATGGGGTGACAGGAAATGAAATTTGGTGTTAAAAGGTGCAGATAGATGCATGTGGAGAGGTGAGTCGAACAGTGGTAACTTTGCATACTTGAAATAGGCTGTTGGCTAGCTAGAGTCTTTCCAAGAACATCAGCTTAAGGTTTTGTGTAAAACAAAACAAAAAACCCCCAAAAACCCAAAACAAAAAAACCAACCCACCCCCCAAAACAAAAACCCCAAAACCCCACCCCTCTCAAAGGTGAATGGAACATTGGCAATATTAAGTACAAAAAGGTAGAAACCCAGCAAATACCATTATATGACAATCCAGATTCACCATATCTTTATGCTTGTGCAACTCTGACTTCCTGTTTTGTTGGGTGTGTTCTTTTTTTTTTTAAGGTACTAGAATGAAAGGAAATAAAGGGAGAGCCTATAGAAGTGGTTAAAGGTGGAATGGCTTTCATGCAGGGATTGACTAAATCATCTTTTTGGGGGTCCAAGCTTCTTCATCTTTAAGGGATTGGGGAATCCATTTAAATATGTGTAAAATTGTAAATGCTGTGAAAGAATTTGAGTAGGAGAAGGTAGTTTGTTTCTCGGTGTTATTTAGTGCTGCCTAGGGTTTTTTTTGTACTGTTCATGTAGCAGGCGTAAAAAAAAAAAGGCAGTTTTATTTCACATTAAGTGAATCCATTGCCACACTGTGGAGTACATGCGTGATTAGTGTTGGTCTTTAGTGAAAAACAGACACTTCAGTCAAATTCAGCCTTATAGGCAATGCTATGTTTAAGTATCAGAAATTGCATCTCTCTCACAGATGTAATTTCTAAAGCTATTCTTACAGGTGCATGTTCATGAGTGAAAGTGTTCTGTATTTATAGATACATGCCAGTAATTTGAAGTTGACTTATAGTCATTTACATAGAAGTATTACTATCGTGTATAGTACTGAATTGGGAGCTTTAACAGTTGATCACTACATGCATGAAAGAGTTCTGTGTAGATATTAATGTAGTATGATTTTTTTATAATATCTCTGCCTACATTCTGATAGTGATTAAGTTATTCAACTGTTGCTACAGAACACTGCCCATCCTTGCTGGCGTTTAAGTATTCTATACTTGAGTACCAAGGCATGGACATTGGATTAAAGATATCCCAGCAATAGAAGTGGCTTGTGGTGGTACTACATCTTTTAATTGCTTGCATGCAAGATTTTTTTCATGCTGAATGATAGGTAAAAAAATGAAGGATTGCATCTCCTCAGGTGCCATGAGTATTTTACCCTCCTTCTTCCTACTTTTCTTGTCTCTTCACTCTTGCCTTTCTGGCTTAATGACCCAGTCTTGAGTTGTTTAGTTTGAAAACAGTGGGCTGTCTTCCAGCCCTGGATGGGTTAGGCTGTGCTTTTTTGAGGCTTTCATTCAGATTCATGGCCTTCATCTCTTCAGATGTGCCAAATGTCCCTTGGGAGATCGAGTGTCATTCCCTGCACTTGACTGAACTATCAGTGGACCACTGAAAATGGAAGAGCCACCTTTACTGTATGCTGCCTCAGCAAATAGGACGTACTCTGTATACAACTTGACAATGTACTGAACTCTGTTACTTAATGTAAATCATGATTATTGCCACGTAAATCTTTGCGTTGATGCATGCAGTTCACTGCTGGTCTTGATTAAGACCATGGACAAGGGTGGCTGTTTCTAGATCATAATGTGTGTGGGATGGCTGAATGTTGGAGGCATAAAGGGGAAAATGCTGTTGGATATCTGATTGGCTAGAACTAACCACGTTTAGGCTGCCAAATCTGCTTGAAGAAATCGATGGATGATATGACTGTTCGAGTACCAGAAGCTGTTGCTGATGCTAGACAATCAGTAGATATGAGTAAAAACTCCTAAAAAAAAAAAAAAATATCTTAGGGGTTTTAAAGAAGCTTAATTATTTTTATAACTTATTTTTAAATGTGTAATTAAATATGGAAACTTACATAATTGTGAGTTATTTTATATGACTATCAATATTAGATGAATGCTATTTTAATTTTCTTTATAAAACCTCCTATATTTTTACGCTTAAAATGCAATAATACCTCTTATAACTGATCATTGGATTATAAATGTTGGCAAGTGTATTACAGACTTCATATAACATTATTCTGCCAAAACCTTTAATGACGTTTGAAAACTGGATCACTTCTACCAGAATTCTAAAAACCCCTGGGCATTTCTAGGTTTCAGACCTGGATGTGTGAGCGAACAAAACTTGTAATACTGCATGGGGTCTTCTTAAAGTGCTGTCATTAAAGATGGTGTACTCGGAGCTAATTCATGTTCTCAGTAAAGAGTGGATTTTCAGGGTAGGGATTTTCCAAACTTTGGAATCTTAATGAGATGTGGCAAATTTTGTCTTGCGAAAGTACTGTTAAAACCATGAAATCTAGGGGCTGGTGCAGAATGTTGGCACCTGCAGCTTAATTGCTGCAGTGCATCTCTGTTGCCCGAATAGAAGTCAATAAACCTCAACTGTATTCATGTCTGACTACACCACAAACATGGGGATACACATGGCTTAGAAGAGTAAAGCCTTGGAGCTGTCTAATGGGAGAGCATAACCACTGGAGGTAAATGTAAGTTCTTGACGTTCCCTGAAGGTGGCTGAGTTGGGATTGAAGAGAGTGATGCTTGTCAATGTAAGATTTGTTCTGAAGTCTTCGTCCCTTACTTTTCCAGTTTTGAGCTTGTTCAGGAGGCAGTCTAATGTTGGCTAGGGTTCTCAGCTTGAAGAGATTGCTGGATTCTGGGCCTTGCTCTCGGGATCATTTCAATAATGGTTGATGTGAAATGACCAAGTATATTTATTCCATAAAGACGGACTAGGTTCCCCAGAAGGGGTAGGGCGACCCCATGGTGGGATAGCGTGTGGACTGATGATGAAGAGCTCTTCAGTTGGATCTTGTTATAGTCTTTCTAAAGTAGACCAAAATAAAATAGCCCAAGACTCTTTATTATTCTCTCCAGTTTTTGTTGCCTAAACACTTAAGTGAAGTGGTTCTCATTAATATAATAGTTACACCCCAAAATATTAAAATAACCTTACAAGGATAGTATCTCATATACAACATGTTTATTTACATTTGAATGGTCTAATGCATTCAGTAATGCTGCAATGGCATCTAGACATCTTTTCTTGCACTATTATATTAGTGAGGGGGGGGGGGAAGTACTTTTCCAGTGTCAAATATTGGGATTATTCTGAGCTTGATAAGGAGGATGAAAAAAGAAGTCCCTCTGTTATAAAAAGAAGTATTTTCTAGAACTGTGTTGAAAACAGATCTAGTTCATATTCTTTGATTTCTTCTCTGAGTAGCTATTGCTTTGTTTCCTGGTGTCCCCTTTGGACTTTCCCCTAAAACAAGGTATGCCTAACATGGTCTGCTCAGAACTTAATCATACAGGGTTTTCAGAAAACGTTTCCTATCTTATCCAAAATACGACTTTAGAGTTGAAATTTCCTGGCTTTTTGAAAGACAGAGAGCGAGGTCGTGGAGAAGGGTGGAAATAGATTGAAGAAATGTTCTGCAGATACTGCTGTCTTCCTCTTCAGCTGCTGTGACTCTAACCATAATTTAGAGGTTACCCTCCCACAATCGGGCGCTAAGGTAAATCGGTTCTCACTTTGTATTGCCTTTGTCCTGAGTTCATTTATATATGGTCATTATTATTAAATCTTGAACTTTTATTTTTTACATGAGACACAGGTCTGTAGCTTCCAAGAGAGGGAACTCAGGTCATAACCAGATGTACTGTGCATTCTTACACAGGAAAGAAGTCGAAGGTTTCAGTATAGCTGTGGGGTTTGGGGGTAGGTGTTGGTGTTCGGGAGTTTCCTTGTTTTTTCCTTTGGGTTGGTTTGTGTGTATGTGTGTTGCGAGTTTTTGTGTGTGGTGGGTTGTTTGGTTTGGTGTGTGTTGTTTTGTGTGGTGGGGGGTTTTTTTGGATTTTTTTTTTTTTTTACTTACAGCACCAGGAGCTAGACGTCCTTTCTTCAGGCCGCAGCGTCTGCCTGCATCGTCGGCCGGGCTTTTCTCGGTTCTCACTTTGTATTGCCTTTGTCCTGAGTTCATTTATATATGGTCATTATTATTAAATCTTGAACTTTTATTTTTTACATGAGACACAGGTCTGTAGCTTCCAAGAGAGGGAACTCAGGTCATAACCAGATGTACTGTGCATTCTTACACAGGAAAGAAGTCGAAGGTTTCAGTATAGCTGTGGGGTTTGGGGGTAGGTGTTGGTGTTCGGGAGTTTCCTTGTTTTTTCCTTTGGGTTGGTTTGTGTGTATGTGTGTTGCGAGTTTTTGTGTGTGGTGGGTTGTTTGGTTTGGTGTGTGTTGTTTTGTGTGGTGGGGGTGGTTTTTTTGGATTTTTTTTTTTTTTACTTACAGCACCAGGAGCTTCTCCTTGTGGGAATCTTGAAGCACTTAACACTGTGTTAAACAAAGGTGAAACACCTCTCATGCGACGGTTTTCTTTCTAAGCCAAGGTTGTTTCATTGTACATTTCCTGTGACAGCTTCTCATTACAAAGACTTTGACTCTCCTGTAGTGTGCCTGTGGAAGGAATTATTTAGCACAGCAGGGCAAAAAAAGGACACTTCGAAGTTCATTTTGAATTCTGGAGGTACCCCATATTGCATGCAAATGGAAATCTCAGAAGGCAGAGGAGCTGACATGTAATCCCCAAGATGCACAGCTCGGAGAGATACTTGTTTCTTTATTGTCAAAATGATTTGCAAATAAATCTTATTTTATACCACTTTCTGACACACTTTGTTTGTATTGATTTTTCTTCCCTTTTTTTTTCCAAGTCGTTGAATCTATTTCTGGGTGTAAAATGGAACATAACAGTTAATGATGCACATTCAAGTGTAAGTATTGTGCAGTGTCAGACCGAGGAAGGAGGCGCCTGGCACTTGGGTGTCACTGTGTCGTCTCGTGCCGGGGGAGGCTCCATCATCCAGGCTGCAGGTCGTCACTGGGGAAGGGGTAGAGGTGCCTTCCCCAGGCAGTTGGTTACTTCTCAGTCAGAAAAACTTCTGACTGTGAAGTTCACAGCTTTTGGCTGCAGGGCTCCAAAAGACTTAAGGCAGACACATCCAAGCTCAGTTCACATCCCACTTGGAGGCAAGTTGAAAAGGCCACGTCCAAAAAAGCTGCAGTGGAAGTGGCAGCACATCCCCCACTCATCGCTCTGGGTCTGGGGAAGGTTCCCAGCAACCCGACTCCCTTTTGCCCTCACAGAGGACAATGTGGTTACAAAGACAGGGTAGACTGAAAAATCCTTGTTCCTTGAGGGAGGAAAGAAGTAAACCTTAGAGAAGAGACGCTCAAGCTGAGTCACTGAGGTATTGGACAGTAGAAAACGTTGGAAAGGGGCTGCAGCTGCTGTAGGTGACTCAATGGTTTCTCAGTCTGAAATGATGTGAGAGGGGAATGGGGTTTTTCTGCGTTGTGAGGGGCTGTTGCCTCTCTGGGTGGCCGTGGAGGTCCATGCACCGCTGCAGGCTGTAGTGTCGTGGTGCTCATTCTCTCCCTGTTCTGCTGCCAGGAGAGCAACAAGAAGTGTGGTCCATACATGAAACAACAGGCCTTAAAAGCAATCCTGAGATTTACTTTCTAATCTGGCCACCTCTTCCTTTTTTCATGAAGTTAAATGGGGGTGTGTGTGGGGGGGTGTGGTGTGTGTGTGTTGATGTGAACCAGTCCAAATTCAAAGAGGTTGTCTTAAAAGTACCTTCTGGCCAGCTGTGATTTAGCATTTGCAACTGGGGTGAACTCTTCCTCTAAAGCAGTGGTCCTGTTGTGCACAGAGGGGTGTCTCTGGGGTTCCCCTCTGTGGTTCTGGAAGCTCCCTTGACCGCAGCCTAGCAGCAGAAGCGTTATTTTGAGCATCGCCTAACTGCCCATGTGCTTTTCCGCAGGTGGTGTTACTTCAGCCTAGCCAGTGTCATCCCCCTTGTTCCTAACCCCTTCCACATCACAGCGCCTTCTTCCCCGAGCGGGTGGACTTGGCACAACTTTCTCTATGTCCGCTTAGGTACAGCGGAGCTTTCACCTTCCTGTTTCTGTCTCTCTTACAGTGTGTCTGTGCTAGAAATCAGGATGAGGTCTGAAATTCAGCTGGTGCTGACCCCAGGTGGTAAATCCCTGCAGCACAGTGCTAAATTTGGGAGTGGGAACTGCACAGCATGCTAAAGCAGGCGTGTGTGGGAGCCCAGCCCGGCTACAGCTTTCGGATGGAGCTGGTTACTGCAGAGCTGGCGCAGGTGTCTCGATGCGAAAGAAACCTAGGTTCAGTGTTATAGTGGAGAAGAGCTGTTGCTGGATCAGGCTGGGCTGCCAGGGCTCTGGGTACTCCGGCGGCGAGGCTGAGTGGGTAGTCCCATGGCCAGACAGACGTACAGACACACATGCGTCAGCCACGCTGACCAATGCAGGCAGAAACCACGGAGGCAGCCCCCCCCGGCTCTGGGTACTCCGGCGGCGAGGCTGAGTGGGTAGTCCCATGGCCAGACAGACGTACAGACACACATGCGTCAGCCACACTGACCAATGCAGGCAGAAACCACGGAGCCAGCCCTCTCCCTGGTGAGCCCCAAGCCCCTGCAGGCAGCAGCCTGTGAGCTGGTGGGGAGGGAGCCTCTCTTGTTGACCGTGGGGCTGGTGGCTCCCCGGGCAGCCCTGGGAGCAGCCCCATCGGGCTCAGCCAGCTCCGGTGAGGTTATGGGCGTTCCCCTGCCTGTCCTGCTGCCTCTGCTCCTTCCTGAGCCCTCAGTCACATAACCTAACACTACTCAATGGCGGGACAGGGCATTTCTGCTCCTGGTTCGTCCAGTGGTGCAGCAGGCAACAGGGGACGCGTTGTACATGAGAAGTGATAATGGCACGGGGCACTGGTGCTGCATAAGTAACCATGTCCAGATACTCCTGAGAAGTTTGTGGGTGCCTGTGGCAGCTACAGCTGGGTGGGTTTTCTTCCTTCTGGCATCAAACTGCTGATGGGCTGAAACCTCTGGGTTTGGAGAGGTCTGTCCTGTCTCACTGAAGGAAATGCCAGGCCCTAAATGGCGTTTCTCCTTCAGACACTCTTAGATCACAAATGGCTCTCCTTAATCCAGTTTTGGATCAAACAGATATCCAGACAAGTTGGATATCTGTATATATAAGTATATATATGTAGTGGTGTATACACCACGACACTACATATATATACATATAAGCCCAACACACTCTGTCCTGGCATGGAGAAGAAAAAAACAACCCATGTCCCTTGCCTTGAGGTTTCCTGCCCTGCTGGGGCAGCACAGGAGCCTCTGAGTCAAAATTCATAGAATCTTAGAATCATTTAGGTTGGAACAGACCTTTAAGATCATCAAGTCCAACCATCCAAGCACATCTGAGCAGGTTCAGAGGTGGCTTAGCAGCTCATTAATCCTTCCTCAAGTAGCAGCCCTGCTTTGCATAGGTAAGCCAGCCCTAGCTTTTGAGCTGGTGAACGCTCGCAGGCTCTACTGGTAATGGTTTGGAAGAAGAAGGGAATTGCCTTCCTAGAAAACTCTGACTGGAGGGGAGAAAGGGAAGGAGAGTGAGCGAGCTGACGCAAGATTGCAGCCATGCAGCTGCAGCCTCTGGGATCCAGGAGGAAGGCAGACATGTACCACCCAGGGAGCCAGCGGCGGGGTTTGGCTGGGGATAAAGGTAGAAGGTCTCATCTCAGAGGAATGTTTAACAACGGATGGAAATAGCTGTAAAAGAAAACAAATGGTGTCACAGAGAGAAGGCATATGATAGCTGGGAGTGATGGGGCAGCTTGCTCGGGCTGTGGTGTGGTTCCAGGGGACTGATGAGCGTCAGGAGGGAGCACAGCAGGGGATGACTGGAGCAGGAGAGTTTCTGCTTCAAATTTCAGCACTCTTTTTTTTTTTTTTTTTTTTTTTTTTTTCCGCTTCTGGCCTAATTTAGTTGTTATGATCATGCCTGCCATTGGATTATCGTCAGAAATTAGGAAAAAACACACTCTGCCCTGGCATGGAGAAGGAAAAAACAACCCATGTCCCTTGCCTTGAGGTTTCCTGCCCTGCTGGGGCAGCACAGGAGCCTCTGAGTCAAAATTCATAGAATTCTAGAATCATTTAGGTTGGAACAGACCTTTAAGATCA